TTTACTTAAGGAAGGCCTTAATGACTTTAGCAGAAAGAGGGAAACCAAAACCTTTCAAAAAATAATAGGAAGTTAAACATGATATTTTCCCCACACTAATATTATGAAATAAAGGGTAAGCAGGTATATAAGCCTTGAATTAGAAACAAATATTAGACTGTAAGAGTTTCCACGAGAGTTAGGTTTCCAGATATTTATGCTGTACTTTTTACAGTCAAATTTTACATTTTATCAATGCAAATATTATGTCCAGTCAATCCAAAGTTGAGTAAATGCATGTAAGTTGGTTTAGCTTTTATCTTCAGTAGTAACTGTACGATCAGGAATGTGTCCTTCATCACTGTACAGTGTCGTGTAGCATTGGGTCTGTTGTAGTGATGCATGCTGTCTGGGTTTAGGCTGGGGGGATGGGGGAATAGCAATGGTCTTAAAAGTGTTTTTTAAGGGGGGCTGTGGGGGCTGGGTCGGGGTATGTTCCACAGGGTGAAATGGTCCCGCAGACGGTCTGTTCTGAAGTCGAAGTTGCTTTTGTCCTTCTCTCCCTCTGCATCAAATTTGCATGCATCAGAGTTCAGAGTTTGTGCTTTGTCAGACTCTCTGATTTCAATTGGAGACGTGTAAGTTCAGCTCTAAAAACACAGCTTGAAAAAGTAAAACAAAAAAGTTGAAAATGACTTTGGAAAGATGTTTGTCTTGTCTGTCTAACAAAATGCGTCCTGTTAAATCTAGTGTATCAGTGCAAATAAACTACACATCAGCTGTAGTTTGCCTTTGCTTGTTTTTGTTACTCTGTCTAAATTTGTGTTAAAGCTGCAGTCCGCAGTTTTCCCTCTTTGTCGCCATCTCTGTTTGAAATCTGCAATTGCAGTTATAGTTCGACGCGGCACAGCGCTGATGAAAACAGTGTTTGAGGGGAGTGTGAGGCTATCAGTCACCGCGCCGGTGTGGATACTGGCATTCAGAATCACAGATTATTATTTTTGTCAAGTATGACCAACATAAGAATTTTCACCGGAAAATGTCATCAGAACTAGTAAGAAACATCACTAAAAATCGCTTATCTTATCACACAAAACTGTGCAAATTAGACTTTTTTTCTCAAATTGTTAATGTTAACACAACATCAGCATTGCGCAACTACATGTAATTGTGTGCGATATGTATCTGTGTTTTCGCATTGGGTCCGGTTGCAGGCTCTCTTTTTCTGTTGTCACTACAAAGTCCGAACGAAGTCTTTTGCATTTTACATCGGGTGAATCTGTTGTCACTGGTGATTGTCATTTGAACCTTTCTGGATCCGCCATCAAATTGATAAGTTTAATTATATCAAGTGCTGTGAGAAAAGGCTATAAATCTCCCCCTCCAACATCCTCAAACACAATATAGCTTATAGACCATTTCACAAGATGTAAACAACACTGGTCCAGAAACACTTCCTGTTTCAGTTTGTAACTGTTTTCTTTATTTCACATGTAAAGAAAACATCTTAAAGATGTTGGTTTAACTTTTTATTCAGTTTTAAATGTTCTGTTGGTTGTATTTTATCCCAGCTTTATGTAGTGTTAAAAAACTGAAACAGGAAGTGCTTCTGGACCAGTGTTGTTTACATCTTGTGAAATGAGACTTTATGTGTACAGATGTGACGTAATGACACAAAGACATGCTCGAATCTCCCGCGGAAATCCACCAGTACCACTGGAATTAAAAACAAGCTTACCACTTTGAATCAAGCTAAGGCAAGCAGATCGTTTTAAAAACACTGGCTAGTTGTGTATTTTCTCAAATATGTATTTTGGATCATTTTTAACCACAAAAAAGCTACAGACTGCAGTTTTAAGCAAAACTTTGTACAAGTTCATATCGAGTTGCATGTAAACATCCAAAGAAATCGACCTGATCCTGATTCCTTGTAAGTTTAGTATGATAATACTCTCTGTCAGTGTCAGTGTCATGGTCAAGTCAGGGATACCTGGGCTGATACAGAAATTGTCCACTACAGCCCACGGCGTCTGTGTTTTTATCCTAGATTAAATCTGCCCAGCGTGGTTCAGCCTGTTTCAGACCCCTCCATCCCTCCAGCTCACCCCCTCAGCTCTCTTTCTCTTCCTCACCCCCTCCCTGTTCAAGTCTCACCCTGCTCTCTACTCAAGTGACAGCCGGCATGCGGGTGGGGAGGAGGGAGGCTAGACCCGCCCTCCAGGCTGTGTGTGTGTGTGTGTGTGTGTGTGTGTACATGTCTACGTTTATGTTGGTTGGATGTGCCTCACTGCTGACCTAATTTGCCCTCTGCAGCTCAATCAATAGTCATTCAGTGCTTCCTTTTCACATGAGGTCTGCCCACACAGCAGCAAACACAGGCTCTCTCTCCGCTGAGCACTGGAATGTAATGGAAATGTAAAGGACTTATGGTGGATACAATATTTTCAGACTGATGCAGTTAATGAATGCCAGGCCCCATGGAATGATCTAATCACAAATTTTGCCATTTATCCTAATTGTTGTTACCCATTTTATTTAATTAATTCAACTTTTGTGTATGAAAAAAGCTTTTGAAAGGAGTTTTTTTGCTGTTGTTGATGAAAGATATGAGTTATGATGCTGAGAATTCAGCTTTGACATCACAGGAAAACATATTTTATTAGACTGTCTTGGTTATAATACAAGTAGAATGTTCTTTTATGAAGTTATTTCACTTAAGGACTTATTTAGGAAGATTAAGCCTGAAAAGGTTGTGGATATTTTATCATACAGTATTTTAATTAAAAAAAAAAAAAGTATAATCAAACAAATTTTACAGCCCTGATGAGAATAATAGACCCCTTTCAGAAAAATCTTACCAACCCTAAACATTTGAACGGTAGTGTAAAAATCCTAAATTCCCCTAATTCAGTGTTCTGAAACAGACTGTAAGATTCAGAACTGTAAAATGTTTTTCAAAATAGTTATTCCTGAATGCAATAACACATGGCCATTGTCACAATGACACTTATTTGGTAACTGCACCATTGCGGTCATGAGGAGGAAGTATGATAGATTATATCATATATTATTCCTAAACAACACTGAGTGTTTATCACAACTATCACAAGAATAAAAAAAGGACTTCACCTTGGTTATTGATTCATACCTTGCTCAACTATTTTATACAAGCTGTTGTATGAACAGGAGAGTCAGGTCATTATTGTCTAACACTGAGCGAACACAGCCATAGAAGTTTTCAAGATACAAGTTAAAAAAGGCCAGTTTAATTCAAAAGTTGAGAGAGGGAATGGTCATGAAAAAACTGTGTAATGACCTGATTTGGGCAAAAACATAAGTGCAGTATAGGAACAAAAAGAAAATGAAAATAAAAATGTTTTATATGACCCATTTTAAAGGGCTCTGTTAAGGAAAGTTCACACCTCTTTCCTCCTTTCTTTTCATATCTCTGCTTTTATGAAGTATGTATAAAGGATGAATAGAGTGTGACATGAATGGTATCTGTGCCCTGGATTCCTCCAAGAGTTGCTGACCTAGTGCACAGCCCTCCTCTCTTTCTCAGCACTTTGGCTGCTGTTGCATATTTCAAGCACACAATGTAGCAGTCATGTATAATAGAGTGCTCTGAGAGGTTTCGGCACACCATAGCAGTGCATGCATTACGTTGGTGTATTTAATCTGATCTCGACCGCAAGTGTGCCGTTATAGGAAGCCGCTACACAGATAAGCATCATAAAAATGTTTTGGTTGCAGCCCTTGACTGTAAATATAAGAACTGCAGGCGTATAGAATGGGGTTAGTGTGAAAATGTGTTTTGATATGATGGTGTGCTCAATTATGTCTTGCAAAAGTCCTCTTTGTCTGAGACCGGACCAGTGAGTAACTCGCCGCCTCAGACATGAAAAGTTCACTGTGTGTTTTTTTTTTTTAACATTGCTCAAGGCCTTCCCCACATTATTCTGAAATGATTATGCCTTTTTCCTTTTCCACATGGGGCCATCCAAAGAAAAGTCTGAGTTGTATTTGCCTGCAGTTAAAAAGTGAAGCAGGTAAAAATATGATGTGCACTGGAATACATTTTTTTCCCTATCTGAGTTCATCTCTCCTTTTCGTTCCCTCTCTCTTGTATCCATTAGCCTTAATATGTCTTTGACTGGTTGGGCGTGCATGTGTGAACTGTGAACTGAAGGAAGTGACTCTGTGTTTACTACTCTGTTGCTGTACTCTGCCCGTGTGAGCCTGTGTTGCAACCATAAAGTGCATTGTTTATGCCTAAATATTCTTGTTTATTCCTTAAATTTTATTGCTTTATAGATTCTCTTTTCATTCTCTCCATGGGGTGTCTGGATTTTACATCATTATTTTTTCCTCACGCATTCTGCCTGTGGAGCGAAAGCTCTGCTATGAAAAATTTAAAGCATATTTAGGTGCTGGGAGAGCCACAGAAGCCTCGGGCTGGCCAGGCAGGCCCGTGCCATTGTCTGGGCCAGGCTTGGTGGGTGTAAAAGTGGGAGGAGGGGGGTCTGACAGACATGCTTTAAAGAGCTTTTGGGATTTGCATTATTTGGCCCGCACTACATATGTGTGTGAGGAGTCTACTGTTGCTTTCATATGGCTTTATGATATGAAGCTGTTGTTAAACTAGAACACAATCAACCTCCTAAACACACACACGCACCCATTTTTCTGAAACACTTTTTTTTTTGACTTCCTCCTCCTATTTTTACATCTTATTCATATCACATGTGATGTGTAACCGAAAGCACCACATTAACAGGAAATTGGGCCACTTTTACTTGATCTGCGGTCTCTCATAATACTTTGGCGTTGTCCCTGCAAGCCTTGGAGTAGTGAGTGTTTATATTGTGGTAATTTAGGATTTTACACAATATTTCTGTTTTAAGCCATAATAACATTTCAGCTGTATTTCTGCTTTGGATTTTAGAGTATGAGCTGCTGGGATTGTTTGTGCTACAGTGAGCATCATCATTGTCTTTTCTTTTTCTCTTTTTCTCTTCTAGATCACTAGATGGTCGGTTGCAAGTATCTCATAGGAAAGGACTCCCTCATGTGATCTACTGTCGTCTGTGGCGCTGGCCTGACCTGCAGTCACATCATGAGCTCAGAGCCGTTGAACTCTGCGAGTTTGCCTTTCACACAAAAAAGGACGAGGTCTGTGTCAATCCCTACCACTACCAGCGGGTCGAGACACCAGGTAATGGACACTGATATTTATGGCTCGTTTCCACCGAGCGGTACGGTACGGGACATTTGTTTCAAACAGATCACGATTCTTTTTTGAACTAAACAAAATAACAAAATTTGCTAGAGGTTTTGATAAATGTGAAATGCTGCAGTCTATTTAAAATATTTAATGAATTTGAACAAATATTTTTTTTTTTAAATCTGTTTGAATCAATGATTCACTTATAAAGACTTCACTTGTTTCATTACTGGATGAATCAGCATTTTTTTTAAAACAAATCTCTTGAATTAAAGATTCAATGACAAATACATTTTTTTAACTGTCACTTGTCACCACTTGGTGTAATGGTACAATCCTTTTTTGAAGTGCAATGTTACTTTAAAAAGGTGATTTACTCTATCTTGATCGCTTTCATAGACATCAGTGTTTGTTTATATCCAAATTATATCCGGTGTGATTTTGACGAGTGTTTGAATAGATATTGCGACATTTTAACGATTAATTATGCAGCTCTACCTGACATTAGTATTAGTAAATTATACTTAGTAATTAGTAATATATGTTGTATATTCACAAGTATATATTGTGCAAGTTGTGAATCAAAACATGTTTTTTAACTCTCTCTCTCTCTCTTTCCCTGAAGTTCTTCCTCCAGTGTTGGTGCCTCGTCACACTGAAATCCCCAGTGAGTTCCCTCCTCTAGATGACTACAGTCACTCCATCCCAGAAAACACCATTTTTCCTGCAGGCATTGAACCCCAGAGCAACTACATACCAGGTAAAAGACAAATACACTCTAGTAAAGGAAGTAAATGAGAAGACTCTTCGAAATTAGTTTCATAGTGTTATAAAAACAGAAAAGCCAAACCAAAAAATGTCAACTGGCTTTTAAATGAATATGTCTCCATCAGCTGCCACAAAGCGGCACAATCTCAAATGTTTTCCAGGTGTACTAGAGTACATTTAGTCTGTAGCTGTAGTCCTAGTAGGGCTGGGTATCGAGTTTGATACTTTTTAGGCACTGACCGAATTGCCTCAATACCATTGATTATCAAAAAATCTCGTGTTGTTCTTACCAAATTTCGATACCTAAGTTGTTAATCTCATCAGTGAGCCAATAAGCATTCAGCATGATTGGCTGTGGCAAGGCATCAAGGAAAAGACTAATTTACGCCAGTTACGCCCAGAGATGTTGCATACACTTGAGGCTATAGTGTCTCAAACCCTGTTGATGTAAACAGTGTTGGGAGTAACGCATTACAAAAGTAATACATTACAGTAACATATTACTTTTTGCTGTAACGCAGTAGTGTAAGGCATTACTAATCAATTTTCAGTAATATTTTACTCGTTACATGTTCAGTGAGGCTTGTATTACAGTTGTATTACAGTGTATTGTCTGCTTTTACTTCTTAAAGGCAACAGACTATGTGAAAGTTTTAAAGCAGTCTTTTAGTGCCAGTTCAGAGCGGTCGCGTCTGTAACATTGTTTTTTCCTCATAAATGTGAACACGAAAACTAAAATAAAATGAATATTTTAAGTTCTATGGAGACTGGAGAGCCAACCCTTCCTCATAATTTTTTTTGTTGTCACGCATGAATGTGTGTCTTTTCCCTAATATTAAAAATAAAACATAGACTGATATTTGTCTAATGTCTGGAGTCCTTCGCGTTTCAATACATGTATTTTCTAAAAAATTTTATTTCAAGTTTTGACTGCAAATGTCATGTCCATAATGCTCCTTAACTAGTTTTGTGGTGTAGGTCTACGTATTTTATAATGTTAACTTTAAATAATACTAATAGCCTAACTTTTTAAAAATAAAATAAAGATAAGGCAGCATTGGATCTGGACGGTAAGGAGAATAACGCTGGGAGTTGGAAGAGGTGTGTCGCGATTCTGCTCGTGGATCTGAGTCGTGTGGCGAATCACGATTTCGGTTTCATATTGCATATCGTTACAGCCCCAAAGTTGTTCTACTTAGTTATTTTGGTGAAAGTAACTCAAAAGTAATACATGAGTAATGTAACGCATTACAATTCTGAGACAGGAATATTGTAAGGTAATGAATTACTTTTAAATAACAGTAACAAGTAATACCTAATGTATTACACTTTGGAAGTAACTTGCACAACACTGGATGTAAACGATGTGAAAAAGATCAAAACTGTGGCTATATTTCACCAGGCTCAATGTCAACAGTGTGCAATGCAATATTTGTGACAAGATAATTGCTGCCAACAACGGCAACAGGACAAATCTGATGAAGTACTCCACAGTGCACTTCAGAAAGTTGGTCTGTCCTCGACTGCAGGAAGAACTGGAGCACATCATAAATGAACCTGAAACTCTGCTTATAGGCTTTTTGCCTTAGTGTCACAGACATGAGAAATAGACATATAAAAAGCTTGAAATGTCTACTTTTTCGAAAACAAATTGTCTCTGATTATGTAATACAAATGAAATGTGCATTTATCTGTATAGGCACATGCGTGCGTTCACTATACTGTGGAGATGACGAGTCAGCAACGTCAACTTCATCTTTGCAGCCAACACTGTCTCAGAAAACACTAGTTTATTAATACACAATTAATGTCTCCTTACTAATTTTTCCAGTGCTTTGTAGGAAGGCTTTATGCATGCGCTTGAGCGTGAGGCTTATATTCCTACCCCCCAGTGGTCTGAATGTCTTTGAGTTTGTAAAAACAGTCAACAAACTGAAAAAAAAAAGTTGTAACCTCTTTTTAGGTAATATGTAATGTAATCTTGTTAAAATAATTTCATAAAATTGCTATCAAAAAAACTATTGTTCAGGAACTAGTGGGCAGTGGGTGGATCATTTTATTTTAGATGTAGACCACCAAACACCGATAAAGCAACAGTACTGTCCAATCACTACTTCGTGTTGATGAAACACAAAAAAATGAACGGTAAATGCATGAAAAAAAACATGTTCATCCAGAATAAATCTGAATTTTAATCTAAATACAAACATGATATTTCAAGCAGAATTCGTAGTTATTCATGATGTGCCACTGATCAGTCATAGTAGAGAAGTTTTGCATTTTTGTCTATGTTCTCTTTTAAAGTTTATGATCGGATGGTTATTTTGATTTAAGCTGCTCTGAAACTTCAAATCCGTTGTTTTAGCAGAGTTATTAATTGACAGGTGGCCATTGTTAACCTGGATACATCAGCATTTACTCTATACTGGTACATATGATGTGGTCACATGTGTTTCTGACCTCCTGTATATACACTACCATTCAAAAGTTTGGTCAATATGATTTAAAAAAAAGAAAACAAAAAATATTCAGCGATAATGCATTAAATTGATCAAAAGTGACATTTATATATAAAACATTTATAATGTTACAAAAGATTTCGATTTTAAATCATTGTTCATTTTAACGTTCTATCAGTCAAAGAATCCTGAATTCCACAAAAATATTCAGCAGCACAAATGTTTTCAACATTGATAATAAGAAGAAATGTCTCTTGAGCACCGAATCAGCATATTACAATGATTTCTAAAGGATTGTGTGACACTGACTGAAGACTGTTATTAGACACAAGCAAAGAGTAGATGTGAAGCTTTAACTGTACACACAAGCAACTCATAAGAGAAAGCGCAATCACAGACATTTAACAATTTACCCATTAATCCAACCTACAGACCCGTTTTCTTATTTTTTTTGACTAGTAAACAAATGTCTATTAAAATTGGCTCGTAAAATTGGCTATAGTCTTGTTGCTTATTATATTTGTAGGACTAATCAAATGATGTTTAACCATTTTACAGTTGAACAATTTACACTGAAGTGATTTAAAGACTGCTTTTGTCTACATAAGGGGAAGATTATCCCATGAAGTCTGTATGGAGTGGCTTTGACTGGGATTAGTTTCACCTGAATGGTATTTGCTATAGAGAGGTAGTCTTTTACCGTAATAGGGCGGTGTGTGTTGTTTCATATCCTGCTGCTGAAACTGAGCTGACCTCTGCTGTCTAAATCGGGTGTCTTCATGTGAAGGGGAAAAATAAAACCCTTGTGAGACATTGTCTCTGCTGCACCTGCTAGATTTTGCCAGATGTGTTTGCTGATGTGCCTGATCCTTCATCCATCAGCTGGTGTGTACAATTTGTGTTCATGCAGGCTAACCTTGTGTGTTTGTGTGTTACAGAGACGCCCCCTCCAGGCTACATCAGTGAGGATGGAGAGACCAGTGATCATCAGATGAACCGCAGCATGGACACAGGTGATGCCAGTTATACTACCGCATTTGTTGCATGCTATGATTGGTTGATGTTGAATTTACTGCACAGCTATGAAGTAGTTCCAGGTTTGTTTGTTTTTTGGTGGCATTTCAGTTGCATATCACTTTTCCAAGTTTCTCTCTGACACTTAATCAGTGGTTTATGAAAGTAGGTCTACACACACCAATATTTAGGGATGATGAAAATTGACTTTGCACTCTTGAATTATTGGAAATGTAATTGTTTTTTAATCAAAATGTGTTGTTTACTGTACATTTTTATACCATTAATTAATAATCTGTCTTTTTTTTTTTTCAGGGTCTCCAAACCTGTCACCGAACCCTGTGTCTCCTACCCACAACAACTTAGGTAAGACTCTCTTTCTGACTGCATGTGTATGTAGATTTTGGATCACTTTGGACACAAAATTATTGAATTGCATTGCAAAAACCATTATACAAAACCAAGTGTTATGTGAAAAGATTTAGCATCATATCTTTTCAAATAACACATTTTTGCAGTCATTTTTAATCAAATGGTTTTGATTAGGGTTGTCTTGATTATCAGATTTTTACTATAGATTATAGTGGCCAAAAGAATTCGATATTGAAGTTAGAGTGGGCAATTTCGTACAGGCATAGCAATAGCAAGCTAGCTTTGAAAGCACAAGATCCCACCCACCCTTCATAGAATCTCCAAACCTCATTCATCTTTAAATTAATCTTTAATTCACCTTTGGCTAAGCCATGCCCTAGAATGTAGATTGACCAATCACAGCGCAGCTCCCACACAGGTCCGACACTTTTTCACAGCACTCCATTGACTTTCAACACAGGCGTCTCATATTTTTGGTCTCGGCAAGCTATTACCGTCGTAGTTTTATCAAAAATATGGTTAAACGTTGTGCCTGGGGCATTTGTAACACAGATACGCGTTTCCCAGAGAGGTCCCCAAAGAGGTCCCCTTCCCCAAACCGAAGTTAAATCCTGACGAGTGTCGTCTTTGGATTAAACTGTGTGGACGTCCTCAGTCAGCTAAATCCCTCAAACATCAACAAGCACATCTTTTTTGCTTCTAACCTTACTGTAAAGTTATACCAGGGTTCCCGCGGGTCCTTAAAAAGTCTTAAAATGTCTTAAATTAGATATTTAAAATTTAAGGCCATTAAAAGTCTTATAAAGTCTTATTTTTAGGTATGAAAGGTCTTAAATTTTAGATGACACTTCGACTCAGTCATATCTTAATGTTTTCCAAATTAAAACCATCTAATTTGCGTACATATTAATTTTTATCTTTGTGGATTTGCTTGTTCACGTGACAATTCGCGTCATATTCGCGGCAGAATAACGTCCGTCTCCTGCACGCGAGACAGGAGAGGAGGAGAGAAGAAAGTTGGCAAATGTCAGTTAAGTCGTAAGTTAATTCTTTATGTGCGTAGAGGTGTGCGATGTGTATTTTCTATTATGATACTCTATTGTTTTAACGATGGACGAGGCACTGTGAGTGTGAGCTGACATCGCATCGTGTCTCTCGTGTTTGCACGGCGTGATGTGTGCAGTTATAGGCATAGACATGTATTTATTATGGTTATAGGTATGTCCCCAAATTAGTTTTTGCCTTATATTTATATCATGTTGTTATATTAGAATATCACATCAGTAAGAGTGCCGTTTTCCCGTGCACAAGTGTGATATTTATGTTATACAATAGTTAAATTAAAAATAAAGTGACATTGTGAGTTAGTTTTTAGCCATAACATTATCGATATTGTTTGTTTTCCCTTTATTTCGCCGACTAGAATTTCAAAATGAAACCATAGCAGAGTCTCAATGCAACAGACAGCGATGATTTCTTGAAGGAAATCCGCGTTTTGAACGAGTCATTTTAACGATTCAATCACTTGCTTCTTTCCCGTTTGAACAAATCGGTTGAATGAATGACTCCCTCAACTCGCTTATTAAGACAGCGATTTGCCGCCGCCTACTGGCGGTTTTAGTTTCATATTAAAAGTAAAAAATTAGAAATCATTTCACATTTAAATATTGAATATTGATTTTTTTAAAAAACCCTATAGCTTGATTTATGCAATTGTAAATGGAGTGTATTAATGCCACTTCTTAGGCTGCTTCTGCGTCTACTCTGCACTGCAAAGATGGATTTTTGATTGAATGATTTAATTTGACTGCTAACAGTGGTACTGTATAATTATTGTGTAATGAAATATTATTGTATAAATAAGTATAATTTTTGTATATATGTGATGCACGTGATGCATAACTCTAAATAAGTTTAGAAAAAAAAATCTCCATAAATAAGTGAAAATGCCATGGAAATCAATTTAAGGTGGCAAATATTGCACGTTAATTAATAATTTCTGTCACTGCTGTGAACTGACCACTGCATAGAATATGAAAAATATAAATATCTCCGTGAGTCTGCTGTCAACAACAGGCCTAAACCAGCCATGGCACCAGCACAAAAACACAATCAGTAAAATATCAACTAATTATTGTTGATAATAATTAGTTGATATTTTACTGATTTTGTTTTTGTTTTGTGTTTATCAACAAAACGTGAAAATATCGAGATATATTTTTGTCAATATCGCACACCCCTAATGTATGGTATTAATTCTGATTTCTTCAGGTCTTAAAAAGGTCTTAAAAAGCATTAAATTTTACTTTAAAAAGTGTGCAGGAACCCTGTATACTAGTTAGACCGTTTTATAATGTTTTAGGTTATGATTTCGGTTCTCATACCGGTTGTTGATACGCTAGCACACGCTGCTAATAAATACGTTATTCTCATGTAGTCCGTTTGCTTTGTAATAACGATTAACATAAGTGAATAGAGACCTACCCAGCTTTGCATGAACAGTGTTGCTCCCTGATATTGTTAGTCCCAGCCTCCGTCTCGATTAGGATATGCGGTGGTTCATTTTTTGGCTGTGACCGGTAACGTTATGCTTTTGCCTCTATTTTGGATGCCTTGTTGTTTCTTGCGTTTCACCTGTATATCTTGAATATAGCCTTTGATTGCAGCCCCCTTTGCCTACTTCTATCGGACACTTTGTTTGCTGCTTCATAAAAGTTTGATAACAGTTCAGCAGGAAGAGCTGTCACAGCATAAGCCATGCAGAGCGCAGAAAAAGTTTGACGGATGTTGCAACAGTAACTAAGGGGGGCGGGGCTTAGCCAAAGGTGAATTTTGTTTTGTGTTTTCTCTTGTTTGGCTAATGAATCACACTTGTTAAATATCACAGTAATCATCAATATGGCATATTGCGACACCCTTAGTCTTGATTCAAGGTCTTCCTTCCTTCCAGTTCACAGTCTTTGTGATATAACATTTATAATGTGTTTTTTAGAACTTTTTTTTAGAACTTTACAGGGACTAGTGAGATCTAAATCAGTACAAATACTGTCTGATTGTTTAAATAACAGTTTACATTTGAAACACAAATGTGTTTTCAGTCTTTTAGAGGAAATGGATTGCTAAATGGATTATTTTGATGTCCCCAAAACAACTTGGAAGAAAACCTCCAAGTCTAAACATCCTGTCGGTTACCATCTTAGCAAGGGAGGGCCCACAATTCCTTTTGTATCAGATTGTGCTTTTGCAGACACCGCTCAGATCCCACAGCGATTTCTCCTTTCCACAGCAGTGGTGTATGAGTGTGTGTCAGAGAGAACGGCCAGTTCCATGAGCCTGTAATTTTCTAAAGATTTGTGTCCAAGTGATGATGGTATTTCCCGATTCAGCCTTTATTTCTGGGAAGTAACATCTGCTCTTGACATCACAGTGCCGTCAGTTCCCAGCCCCCGTGCTCTTTCTCTGTATCCCCACCCATTTGTTTGTTTTCTTTTTCCTGTCAAACCACCACATCCCCCTCCCTTTTTTCCTATTTCTATTTCTTTTCATTTTCTGTGTATGTCTGTGCCTGACGGATTCTCTCCCTTTATTGTTTTTTTCTCTCTTTCTCTCTCAGATCTACAGCCAGTGACATACTGTGAACCAGCGTTCTGGTGCTCGATCTCATACTATGAGCTGAACCAGAGAGTCGGTGAAACGTTCCATGCCTCCCAGCCCTCTTTAACAGTAGACGGCTTCACAGACCCGTCCAACTCTGAGCGCTTCTGCCTGGGCCTGCTGTCCAATGTGAACCGCAACGCTGCTGTGGAGCTCACGCGCAGGCACATTGGTACGCACACGTCTGTTTCAATCACTCATTCATAAGACAACATCATTTGAATTTAATTGTATTATTTTATAATAAAATAATTGTATTTTTTATTTATGTGGCAACCTTCTATTTTTGCAGGGCGAGGTGTGCGTTTGTACTACATTGGTGGTGAAGTGTTTGCAGAGTGTCTGAGTGACAGCGCCATCTTTGTTCAGAGTCCCAACTGTAACCAACGTTACGGCTGGCACCCCGCCACTGTTTGCAAGATCCCACCTGGTTAGATAAAACGAGAGACCCTCAAAAAATAGAATTTTGACAGTTGAAACCTTGTTTTAAAACACTTTGTTTCCATCCAGGCTGTAATCTGAAGATCTTTAATAACCAGGAGTTTGCGGCTCTTTTGGCCCAGTCTGTGAATCAGGGCTTTGAGGCCGTGTACCAGCTCACCCGCATGTGCACCATTCGCATGAGCTTCGTGAAGGGCTGGGGAGCCGAGTACAGGTACGATTACTGCTATCGCTTCACTCTATATCTATTCACGCGCTTGCCACTCCTGGAATGTGGCTTTGATTTGTCTTGCTTTAAGTCTTTTGGATCTCTTGTGAAGTGGTGTTACTCAAACCACAGAAGCCACCCATGCTTCCTGTTAAATTCTTTGAATTTGATTGTCGTAATCAGTTTTTTTGTAGAAACTGGATTATGAATGTTGAATGGCTTAAACACTACTACTTATTTTCTTTTATATTTACATTCATTATCTTGATTTAGATTTAAATTAAATAGCCCGAAAGAATAGAGATGTTAAATATAAAAATTCTGGCCAATACCGATAATTCTAATCCTGATATTAATATTCTTTTCTATTTTGTCTTAAAAAAATAAAATTCTAAAAAAATCTATAGTTTAGTTGCTTGTTAATTTAGGTATCAAAAATTTAAAATGTACAGTTTAAAAAATATATTTTGAATTAAATATTCAGATGCTGCTAAAGAACATTTAGCAGTGTTATTAAAAGAAATTAGAAATTAGTGATAAAATAAGTAACTGTTAGATGATGGGAAAGGTGTCTAATTGTAAAAATAGGTGAAGTGAGCATGCACCATTTAAATATTCACTAATGGTTGATATAGATCTAAAAGGTATGCACTATATGTTAACATTTCGATCATTAGTTAATAGAGGGTTTGCACTTGACGTCACCGTCGGCCGGAGTGACAGCTGAGTGGCAAAAAGACAGAATTGTTTTTCAGAGTGAATGCCTCAAAAAAGACAAACCACATCTAAACTGTAACACATCTAACTGTAAACTGTTAGAAACACTTGTATTAAGTCCAACCTTTGTTTAAACTGATAATCGTTATTTTTTTCACTCGCGTTTTCACCGTTCCCCTATTAAATCCAGTCATGCAGCAGGCTGTTTTGCCACTCAGTCCAGCTGAGGGGGCGTGCTCTAGCAGGGAAAGTAATTATCAGCTTATCAGACAGAATTTTGTAAGTGCCTCTATTATGCTATTTTAAAGTTTCCTAATGTTGTTTTGGAGTCTCCTACAACATGTTAACATGCATCAAAGGTCAAAAAAAGGTCAAGTTTTATTTTCTCATAAAATACATTTGAACATCACCACATTTTCATTGATTCTCAAACGAATCAGTGCTTGTCCATCAACAAACCAATTATTTTACTTGTGACGTTACTTATTTATTTACAGAGAATTTTTTTATAATTTATTGCAGTGAACATGTGGAAACTTTCTCAATAACAGTGCATACACTGAGCTCTAGTCTAGTGCGAATGACTGATTGTAAAATTAACATTGGTAAAACAAATCTTGCTCCATGCTTAATATTTCCTCAAAGTAGTGAGAATGACTGACAATCTGCTTTAATAGACACAGTTTTAGGTATTAGTGGCCCACAACTGCTTTACAGAAGTATTTCAGTAAGAGAGTGATAACGTGAGTAAACCAGTTATAGCGGGAAACCTACACAATATAAAAAGACAGTGATAACATGTCATCTTTCATCATCTTTCAAGAGCAAGCGGTTTGTGAATCCTGCATTGAACTCCGAGATTTGAGAAGCAGTCATAAATAAAATAAAAGGAACGCAGCAAAAGTTTAGGATTCTACTTACTGCTGTGATTTCTTGGTAAAGATTAAATTCAACCACTGATTCTTCACATGCTCGTCCTTGGGCAGTGGGGAAAAAATGGCTTTAACTTCACATTGTAGAGCACTGCGTCTTCTCGACTGACGCTGTCGAGTATCCACAGGAATCAGCTGCAGAGTTTGAGGGGGTTCAAGGTTTCCCTGGTGTCTGTGTGTGCAATAAATGGGGGGTCAAATTGCTAAATGTTTCGTCTTGGTGTCACCATGAAATGACTTATGATTCGTTTGAAAAACGATTAATTTCATTGACTCAAGAGCCGACCCTTACTTTTGAAAGACAAAAACTTTATATATGGTGCACTTTCAGATTTAAAACGTTAAAAAAATCCATAATAGGGGCACTTTAATATTTTTCATCCCTAATATCCAGCATCAATGATAAAGTAATCTCTTATATCAGCAGATATAAGTAGGAATGACAGAAGTTTGAAAAGGAAGCCCAAGCCATTTTTACTGCTTCGTAAGACAATCGGAAGAAAATGTTGCTTTACAGTTACAGTATTTTAGTATGGACAGTCCTGTGAGGTCATGACAGGATCTGACAGGCTGCGCTAACTGTTTTTCTCGGTCTGGCTCACTCTGACGTAGCAAGGCAACCCGGTGTCCACCAGTCTAGCGTGTCCGTCTTATAAACTGTTAGGTCTGCGCTGACAAATCATTCCACACCAAACAAACTCGCATATGGTGTGCTTCAAAATGTCTCAGAGTTTCCTGGTTTCTCTTTGTTCTCTTCCCCTCTTGTGAGTAACTTCATTGTTTGAGCCCTTGGTACCAAGACCCTAAATTAGAAGCAGTTGTGGGTTTTGACCATGGACATCTGTAGAGAAAGCTTGAGAAGAGAGTGGGAAAGAGTAAGACTGGTGTGAGAGAGAGTGAGACTGTGGTTTCCAGACAGCTTGGCGTGTGGAGACACAATCTGAGCTGTGTCAGGTTTCAGCAGACACCCACTCTCTCTCTCTCACGCCCCTCCACTTCTCCCCACCTTCAGATCCACCTCTTAAGTGCAGTCAAACTCTCCCTGTTCCAGTTTAAAAATGCCATTTGAGCACTTTATGGTTGGACCATGCATTCACGACGCAGAACAGCACAGTGCCGTTGTCTGACTTCACCTTCATATTCTCTCAGTTTTTCACCTGAGCTGCCCCAGATTACTTGGTTGATGACTAGAGTAGATTTCACCTCCTCATTTTTGCTTTTATTTGCCAATATCTTTTCTTATACAAGACTTTAAAATTGATAATAATTTTGCAGTATCTACAAGCTTTCCTCTTTAATTTCCTCACTCCTGCTCTCCTACTTTCTTTCCACTTCTCCATCTCTTTTGAACTCTTAGTAGACTTTGTAGAGTAATGGAGGCTGCGACCTCCGCTTATGTTGTATTTCAGCACTGCCCTTTTAATAAAGTCAGGGGTTCGTTCATAGATGGCTGACAGATTTACTGAGAATCTCGTCAAAGAACAAGAAACCGTCAAGCGATCAATAAAAGAAGCTGCTAGGAGACAAAAGCAGTGGGTAGACTAGACACATTGTTGGATGAAACTGTAATGGAAATGTCTAAATGTAATGGTTACATTATAACGATTTGAAACACAATGTGAAAGCAGCAGAACTGTTTTAATAACCAAATTAAAAAACGTTCATTGTTAAGAGGCAATTTACATTCAACGTGCTACATTTTAATGATTTGTATGACTTTTATTAAAAAATATAATTGCATGAGTTATATATAAGTATACTTTTTTTCAGAAAAGATGCATAATATTGATCAAAAGTGACAGCAATCTTTTTTATAAATGTCATTATAAATGTCTTTACTCTGTCAAAGAATGTTCTTTTGAACTTTCTATTCATCAAAGAATCCTGATAAAGTGTTTCACAAAAATCATGGTTAAGCAGCACAACTGTTTTCAACATTGATAATAAGCAATGTCACGTTAGCTCCAAATCTGAAGAATCATGTAACACTGGAGAAAATAAAATAAAATAAATGCAACCTGGTAAACATAAGAGACATCTTTCAAAAATGCTAAATAATCTTACTGACCCCAAAATGTTGAATGGTACCGAAGGATTTTTAAGCTTCAATTAGGATTTATTTAAAACTTTTCTGCCAAGCTCTGTTTAATAGCACATTTTACTTGATGTTAGGACACATGGTTTATTTTTCAAAATAGAAATATATAATAGAGTATAACTATATAGAGTATAAGAGTATATATATATATATAGAGTATTCACTCACATGTTTTCTGTGCACAGTGTAGCGATTTGACTTATCAATAATACGATTTCTGGCTGTTTTCGTTATTGATTATTATAGAAGGATTACATTTTAAAATGAAATATACTTGTCTCTAATTCTTTTATGAATTATTCTCTGAGTGCTGAAGTGACTGAGGTTAACGAGAGACTTGCACACGTGTGTATGTGAGTGGAAGGATTAGAGGAAGTCCCAGTGAGGAATGGAACGTGAGCAGTGTGACGTGTTATGAACAGTTTATCTGTGTGTGTGTGTGTGTGAGCGCAAGCGTTGGAAACTGCTCAGACGAGTGTTGTGTAAGTATTGTGGAATGTAAAAGATGTGTGTTTGGCAGAAAGTATATCCCTATGAGGGATGAGGGACCAAATTTACACACAGTTTATATCCAGACAAACTGACAAACTCTGTGAATTGTGTCTTGACAGTACTTCACATTCACAGTAAATGATGTCAGTGGACGATTTATTAACAATCTGCATGCTTGGAAAAAAATCGGTATATTATTCGTTTGGAAATAACATTAAATATATATATATATATAAAAAAATAATGATGTTTTACTCACCCTAGTGTCATTTCAAAGCTTTCTTTCTGCTGCAGAACAAAATAAGATATTTTGAAGAATGTTGGTAACCAAACAGTTTTGGTGACCATTGACTTCTATTGTACGAGACATTTCTCAGAATATCTTTCTTTTGTGTTGTACAGAAGAAAAAAAATCATACAGGCTTTGAACTACATGAGTAAGCGATGACATCATTTTCATTTTTGGGTGAAGTGTACCTTTAAGCTGTCATTGCATTATAATATAATAAAATATCAAACTAATTTATTTATTACAAAGAAAGATAAGCAAAATATTTCAAAAAGAGGTTTGGTAAGTTTAAAATGTTCGTTAAGTTTCTGAAAAAGTCACTGAAATCGCTCGTTGGAATCACTGATCTGATGCAGTTAAATTTAGATATTTAAGTGTGTGAATACTTTTGGTCTCTGTGTGTTTCTGACCTCTCTCTTTAATGCTGTCAGGCGGCAGACAGTGACTAGCACCCCCTGCTGGATAGAACTGCACCTGAACGGTCCTCTGCAGTGGCTGGACAAAGTGCTCACTCAGATGGGCTCCCCCTCCATCCGCTGCTCGAGTGTGTCATAGGAAAAACACTCCATATACCACCGGATCCAGGAAAAAAGTTCCTTCAGGAGTAGAAGGCTGAAGACCTTCATACCTGCCAACTAATTGGGTTCCACAAACTCGGTAGCACTTTCATGTTGGAGGAGTGTATTACAGAATGTGTATATACTCGTTTTTATGTTATTGGTAGCCATTTTTATTGCCATTATTGATATCAAATATGGCCATTTATGACATATTTAGTTATATACTGTTTCACATGTATGTAAGTTCTCTCCTCTGTTGTGTCCATTATGATTCTTTTATATTAGGTACATTTTTACCATAAAATAGGCTTGTTTTTTTTTAGAGACATGAAAAAAGTGCTTTTTTGTTAAGTGAATACATCATATTTTTCGAATATCAGTTAAACTGTATTTTTGATATTTTTTTGGTTTGATCAAACTGAAATTTGCCCCCTGTCACAATGTTATGTAGTACATATAAAGAGGTTTTGACCTTCCTCATGAGAAAGAAACAGGATGTCTTTGACTAAGCGGTGTGTTCAGAGATTGGAAACTCAAATTTATTATTGTTTTTGATTCCACAAAACACCACATTTCCATATCCCGTTTTGTCCTAGTCTGTGAAATGTGCTGGACAGCACTTTAAAAAAACATACATTAGCTCTTCAGCTTTATAAAATTCCCTAAACAGAATACTATATAACAAACTTACATACCAGTTTATGTAACATGCTTCTATGCTTCACAAAATCTAAGTTTGTTTAAATGTTTGGGGATTTTGTCATTGTACAGGTTCAGTTCAGATACTTCTCCTACAGCAGATTTCCAGTTTTAGTGTTTTTCATCTCTTAACCCGGACCTGTGTGTGTTTGGAGGTTACTTGAGGGTGTTTTACCTGTTCCAGCCGTCGTCTGTGAGCGTTATGTAGTGTCTGGTCTGTTGTTGAGTTCAACTTTGTCTGCAGCGAACCGGCTGTCTGTTTTGCGCGAATGAATGTGAATTATTATTGGGTTTTATAGGATTCACCACTCACAACTCCACGTGTTGAGCCGCGCTTTCATTCGTTGTTCTTTAGTGAGTGGGTGAGGAGCTGTTCAAGGTCTGGTGAGGTCTCCCAGTTGTCCACTTTGGAAAATAAATTTCCTCATGTGGTAGTTTTTGAAAACTGGGCATTACATAATTTTGAGCTCTATATATAGTTTATGCTTCATATCTCACAGTGTTAGTTTTGTCTGTGGATATGTACTGCACACTCACTCAGTTTCATTTCTAGAGGATGTGGGAACCCAAGGACTCACAGGTAAGTGTGCCTTCGCATCAACTTTCACAACAGAGTTTGTAAATAGTATATAGGAGACTTCTTCACAGGCATTCATCCATATTGAGTAAGTGGGTTGTCCAATGTTGGACCACTCAGGGTTGTGATCTATTCTCAGCTGAACTTGTAAATATGTCTGATAAATTGATTATGCATGCCTATTTTCTGAAAATCATGCCATTTGTACTGTAGACTATTTTGCTACCAAATATTTTTTCAGAAGTGTGACGGGAAAGTAAATGCTCTTACCTCTGTGTTTGTAACCGTCGAAAGGGGGGTGGGCTGCACTGCTGGCAGGTTTTTATATGGTTGTATTTTTATATACGTCGGATACTCAAAGGATATGGGGAAGGGAAAAGTCACAATGGGTTTTGTGAAAGCCAGTTAAATAGCATCAGGTCAGTGTGATTCGCTTGCAATGAGGAGCTCTTTCCAGGCTTTTTGAAATCTCTGGTGTCACAATGTGTTATAAAGGAATCATGGAGGAAAATTGCATTTAGGTGCATCGTACTTCACAGATAGGAGAAAAGATGTGTAACATCTGTTTGCTTAAATGTTAATAAGGACTGTTGTGCGATTTAGGACTTTGATAAAGTCAGTGTGTTGTATGACTTGGATTCCTTGAAATGTATTTAAAATCTCTTGATGTCATCCGGCAAGACAAAATAGAAGGTACTTGTATTTTTCAGGAAATGATTTGTTGTCCATTTAAGCAACATTAACTGTTTTCTTTGATAGGAAGAAAATCAAATCTCATTCTCTCAACAAATTGTTGAACATATTTTAAGTAATGTGCATTTATTGTGCTTGTGTTAAACTTTCACATTCAGTGACGTTGTGACTTAGTGGTGATTGTTGTGCTTGACATGTTAGATTTTTTTTCTCTGTATAAGTATATAACCTTTATTATTTCTCTCTGTCTTTAAAGTTTGTCAGGAGAAAAAAATTATTGTTTATTATTGTTGTACTTTTAATAAATGTGTAAATGAAAAAAAAAAAGTCTCATCTGATTTTTTTTTAGGCTAAAATGTCTTTACAAACATTTTCCTCCACATTCCAGTCAAGTTCTGCTTATTTTGTGATCATGACAATGCTGTAAAAGGTGCTTTGGCATACGGAGACAGATAAGGCATGGTCTGTTGCCTAATGCACTTTTTTCCTCTCCTTGCTGAAATATGAAAGCTCTCTTTGTTCAAAGGGCCCTAAGGGCAGGGAGGCGCTATAATTCTTCTGAACTGCGATTACATAAATCATTTTAGGCAAAAGCTGCTATGCAGCAGCTAAAAAATCACCAGGCACTAATTGTGTGGAACCTAGCCATGTAGGCTATTTGAAATTAGCAGCTGATACTGTATTATTTGGACCCTTTCAACTTATCTTTTTAATCGTGGTTTTATCCCGGATATTTGGAAATAGGCTTGTGTTGTTCCCTTATTAAAATGGGGAGATTCAAAATTGTTGAAACTTTTATTAGTGACCTGTTGACCTGTTATTTGAATGTAAACAAAGTTCTATCTAATAATCAATCAGGGTTTCATAAAAAGCATATTACCACAACAGCCGTTCTGAAAGTTTTAAACGATTATCAGTGGATTAAGGTGATTATTGCGCTTCCCTTTTTGATTTATCAAAGGCTTTCGATCATGATCATGAAATATTGTTGGATCATGAAATATTGTTGCATAATATTTAAAAAATATTTAAGTGAAATAACTCAATGTGTGTGATGGTAAACATACTGGACTATTGGAGATTGTTGACGGTCTTCCCCAAGGATCTGTGTTGGGACCTTTTTTATTTACTATTGACATAAATTAGTCTTGATTGTGATATTCAGGATGCAAATTTTCACTTTTATGCAGATGCCACTGTCATGTATTGTGGTGCACCTTCTAAACAGCAAGCCGCTAGCTTAAGCTTCAAATGGCTTTTGATGTCATTCAGTCATGACTTCATGCACTAAAACTTTTTAAAACTAAGCTTATGTTATTTTCAAGGTCAAAGGTAGTAGAATCTTATTCCTCTAATAATTACTACCTAATTATTTACAAAACTATTCTGGGGTTGTTGCCTTCATATCTAGGTTGTCTTATTTAACAGAAAGTGTTGGGAAATATTCCCTCTGGTCTCAAAATTGTTAGCCTACTTTCTGTTCCATTTGTAAGAACTGAACTGGAGAAAATAGATTAAATAGAGATTAATGAATTAAATGGATATTATCCTGGTTAAATAAAGGTAAATAAAAAAAAAACCACTTATACTTTACTGATGGATCAGACAGACACCAGATCAGGAGTTTCACTGCTTAAACTCAACCCAGCTCTGCTTCTGAAAAATTAACAGGTTTGAGGGTCAAAACCTATAACACTCATGAATGATTCACAGCTTCTCGAATGTGTAGGGCACTGTGTCAAGGTTTGTTTCAGGTTCATGAGGCAGCTGTGTTTGTTCCCTTAGGTTTTTTTTCCCTTCCAAATTTCAGGTTAAGTGCATACAGTATTCCGGTGGATTATTTCCTTTGCGCTAGCGCTCTCTGTGGGCAAACGAGAGAAACGCATCACCACATCACAAGTATGTTGACTGAAGCAGTCACACGGGGAAAGCTTGTTTGCGCTGTTAAATCACCATCACTCATCGTTTAAATGCCTCAGATTTTTTTTTTTTCATTCAACCAAAACACTTCACACCTGGTCTACTGCAGAATAAAGGCCTAGTTTTATTGTAGTAACACACTGGCCACGTCAGAATTCAGTAGGTAGGCTATACTTTCGGAATATACACTGAATTCCATTTAGAATATTCTTTTTGAAGTAGGCTAAATGCTTTAGATTTTTTTGTTGCATGTGTGGGTGTAAACCTTAATTGTAAACTAAAATTCCTGAATATGCTGAATATGTATAGGCACTTTACTATATCCCATAAGGCCATGGGAGCTGAATAGAGGTCAGATGTCAAGAAAAATGGCGGAAAACTTAACGGACGTTTCAGGTAAAGGAAGTTTGTTCATTTGTTACATTTTATTTGTTTAACAACACTCGAATACATTATTTTTTTCACTTTATGACATGTCTTATGGGATATTAGTCATCTGCTACAAGGTAAGTAGTCTGTAGGCTTGCATGGGCTTGCCTAAAATAGGCATTTGTTTTCAACAACAGTTTGAAATTAAAGGGTTAGTTCACCCCAAAATGAAAATTAAGTCATTAATTACTCACCCCCATGCTGTACCAACCCCGTAAGACCTTCGTTCATCTTCGGAACACAAATAAAGATATTTTTGATTGAATCTGAGAGCTAGATGTCCTACATAGACTGCCTAAGGGACTGGCTCTTGACGGCCCATAAAGTCATTAAAGAAAAGGTTTAAATATTCCATGTGCCTACAGCGGCTCAATTATAAGTTTATCAAGCGACGAGACTACTTTTTGTGCGAAAAAAACATAAATAACGACTTAATTCGACAATTCTATTACTTCCTTATGGGCGCATGCGCGAGAACTGAGACGAGGACGTTCTTCTCCTTCGACTACTTCTTGTTACCGGCTGCTCCGCTTAGGAGTTTTACCGCCACCTACCGTATAAAATGATGATCCATATATAAGGCGCTCCGGATTATAAGGAACACTGTCGTTTTTTTAGAAGATTAAAGGCTTTTAAGTGCACCTTGTAGTGCGGAAAATACGCTAATTGAAAAGCGTATGTACAGCGCGCATCTTCCTCTGCTTGTAAACAGAAAGTTTTGCGCTTCCAGCTTTATCAGCACATCATCTTATACGGTAGGGGGCGGTAAAACTCCTAAGCGGAGCAGCCGGTAACAAGAAGTAGTCGAAGGAGAAGAACGTCCTTGTCTCAGTTCTCGCGCATGCGCCCATAAGGAAGTAATATAATAGTCGAATTAAGTCGTTATTTATGTTTTTTTAGCACAAAAAGTAGTCTCGTCGCTTGATAAACTTATAATTGAGCCGCTGTAGGCACATGGAATATTTAAACCTTTTCTTTAATGACTTTATGGGCCGTCAAGAGCCAGTCTCTTAGGCATCCTATGTAGGACTGATCCAGCTCTCAGATTCAATCAAAAATATCTTTATTTGTGTTCCGAAGATGAACGAAGGTCTTACGGGGTTGGTACAGCATGGGGGTGAGTAATTAATGACTTAATTTTCATTTTGGGGTGAACTAACCCTTTAAGAAAAGTGATGATAAAGCTAAAATCAGATGACAAAACAATGAAGTAGGCCTAATATTAAACATAAACATTCAATTAATGGGCTCTATGCACGGCGTTATTTCCGGTGAAGCATTAGGGATGCTCGATAACTTCCGCCGATCATAGAGTCCAATGCAAAACCGAGAATTTATATTGAATTTTATACTCCATGGTTATACTAAAGAAACGTTATTCACAAAAACAGATAAAACAGACACCCCTCGTTGTGTTTATGCTTCTTTTTAAAATTATATTAAATAAACATAACTCTATATAAAATTACATCTAAACGTATGTACGTTTCGTTTCAAAGACGGGAGGACAGTAAATATTGAAGACTCTGCCATAATCCCGCTTTCTCCGGTTTTCCTCCGCTTTAATCTACACAACCGGAAATGGACGAGCATCCTTACGTCAAATGCGGAACTTATGCGTGCATATAGCCCATTGCATATAGCATCTAACTACACATCTAATAGCACAAAATTATGATGAATAGACTAAAAGGAGGAAGGACCCTATAATCATAAGTAGCCATAAATTATACAGACTGGAAGTCTTTATTGTTAATAACAGTGCTTTAGCATTATGCCTCCTGTGAAAGATGTCCTTACAGATTTTGATAAAAAAGACTGACAGAGTTGATAAACTGAACACCATTCTCTCTCTCTCTCTCTCTCTCTCTCTCTCTCTCTCTCTCTCTCTCTCTCTCTCATCAGGCCTGACAGCATCATGATCGCCGATGACAGCTACTACCTTTGTTGGTAAACAAATTCATCTTCTTAAAGGTCACAATTTGCTGCAGTGTGTCTGTATCTCTCTCTCCGTCAGATTGTCCCTCCATCAGCATTCCTCTCAGGTGACTCACACCTGATTGCGGCGCCACGCACTGCTGCGTCACAGCTGTCTCCGGACAGAAGAGAAGACAGGGCCGCTCGCCTCCAACTGCCGCGCACTGGAACTCTGCCCAACGGGCGATGCGTATCTGTGTTACTGGCCAGCAGTCCTCCCTTCAAACCTTCTGTCGGCGACAAAGATATAGCCTACTCTCTGTTTCTCTTTAAACTCTCGAACACCTGTTCTGCTTAAGACCTCGGCTCGGTCTCCAAAGAAATGAGACTCGGCGTAAAGCAAAATGATAAGGATCGTAGGACTATTTGCGCGTGTTAGATGTAAGTTAGGCATATTTACTGTTAAAACAAAAGGGCTTCGCACTCCAAATTGAGTGGAATTCACAGGACTGATGCTAAATGATCTGCTCTTTCAGGTAGATCCGAAGTGAATGAATGGCTGTTTTAAATTGAGTATGTGATTGTGATCACACAGACAATAAATACACGAAATCCACACAGTTAGTGCTTTGATTTTGTCTACATTATCTAAAAAAAAATCATGGTTCTTTTAAGTCCAAATAGAGGTGCATTTTTGCGAATTGGTGGTTACAATTTTTTAAGTTGTTCAAATTTCAAAACAACTCATTTACAGCCCCTTTTCACACCTCTATGTTTATGTAGGGAATTTTCAATTTCAAGATTGTTATTACAGTATACTAGGAGGAATCATTGATGATTTTCATCTCCATTGTTTTAATGTTCATAAATGTTCGGGTCAATTTAAACAGACCTGTTCAACCATTTCAGGGATGACAAATTAAAGATTCTTTTATGTTTTCTAAATTAATGTGAGGATACAATTTATGGCATTTTATTGGATTATGCCTACCTAAGCCATTCACACAGCCTTACTATTACAATACAGTCAGCATTATTTA